ATCATTTTGTTTGAAGAAATATTTTCATTTAATTTATCTTTATCAGTTGAATTTTGATTTCTATCTGATAATGATGAAATAAAATCGTTACATCGGAATAATAAATCACTACTATCAACGCAAATTGTAGATGCTGTTAGACATACAATTATTTGTTGTGTTGTTGAATTTTCATTATCATCACTTTCTTCATCGAAATACAAGAAAATATTTACTAATAGCAGAAGATATTTTTGGATTTATTAGTTCATCAGTTTATGATAAAGAAGAATCATCACTCAACTGAAAAGATTGTTGTCTTATAAAATGAAAATTTTCGAACAACGAAATGAGATTTTTTAATATATTATCATTTAACAAATGTAATATTTGATGAAGAACAAAATATATTAGTACATTATAGGTAATGATTCGTTGTTTAGAAAAGAGGAAAGATTTTAGCTAAATGGTAACAATTTCTCATTCAAAAATAACACCGATATTTTCTCCTAGAAAATGTTCACATCAAATATAAACATGTTTATAAGCTAAACTAAATAATGGTAAACAGTCTGCACCAGTTCGAAGATTTGTTAAAATAGATCAGGACTGTTAACTACATATGCTTATGTTCTGCGATTCAAATGATTTTTCTTCATTCCAAACTCGAGAAACATTTGAAGAAAAACTCTTGATTTAATATTTTAATATCCATCAAGCTCGGTCTTTTGGTCTTAGTAGTTTTCTTTTATACAAAACTCAACATTCAATAAAATATTACCAATGCTTAAGATACTTTTATTTCGTTTAAATAATAATTTGCATTCAACAGGCAAACGTTCATTTCGTTTTCGTTCTGTTTCTTTCTTATCTATATGCATAATTAGATGCGAAGCATGTAGTCAGTAGTGTGAAAAGTTATTTTGTTTCCTGAAATTTTTCGCTTTTTTTGTTTAAAAAAAATTGAAAAATTATATCGTATAAACTAAACAAAAAAAAGAGACAATTTATTAGAAAATTATTCTATAAAAATATTTACCTTTGTAAGAAAAGAAAAAAGACAGTCAAAACTGAAGTCATCCTTATTTTTACAAAATAATTGCATATTATACAAATTAAATCAATTTATTCTTCATTTTTTTGTGCCATTTGATATTCATAATAATTGAAAACAAAAGGTTAGTCATGTTAGGGTTTATCATGATGATGCGCGTATGAAGAAGAGTCGTCATATCATAGTTATTCATTCAGCAAAAATCATTTCAATATAAATCCCAAATTATCAGTAATACATTTAGACTCAATGCAAAATGAGAAATAAATTGAAACTATTATAACTTTTCTAATGATCTACGTCATCATCGATTATCCAATAGGCACATCATTAAAATGTACTACAATAATCAACAATGTGCACAGGTATTATTAGAAGATCCATTTAGGAAATAACAAAGAAAAAAGAATGAGTTTGTTGACTCCAATTTTGCTTGATCCTATTGCTTATTATCTGTTTGTGTCAATGTTTATGAGTGAATAGCAACTGTATTGTAACGTTATATTCTTAGATGTAAAAGTTCAATATTTCCAATTACTCTCAATCAATCCTTATGATTTTTTCAGATTAGGCTTCTCTAAGTCCCCACTATCTCCCTCAAAATCATGAATTTAACTTAACTAGTCTCGAGATATTAGACGCACACGATTAAAAAGATCGATTTTTACTGCTATCTCTCAATAAAAAATGACGTCACTAATCGACGATCTTGACATTGTTCTTGTCAGATTCTTGTTTTTCTTAATTATCAGACATGATTCTTTTTCATCATGATATTCGGGCAAGAATCTTTTCGAGAGGAAAGAAAAAAGATTCTTGCCTGTAATTCAAGATGAACAGAACCTTGTCTGTAGAGGTGTAAGCCGAGCGGCTCAGCCGCCGCCGATTTTTTTGAAAAAATCTCAGCCGCCGCCGTCGATGGGCACTAAATTTTAAAAATTTTTCAAGCCGCCGCCGCCAATGCTGGAACTCTCCAGCCGCGCCGCCGCCATTGCCATACATAGTTACCGCCTATTTCCAGCCGCCGCCGCC